CCCTTACTCCACAGCCATCTGCTGCTCGTGACAGGCTGTGTGACTGAGACCAGGCCCTCTCCTGGCCCCACTGAGAAATGTGAACTACTGCTCTCTCAGCTTCCCCCAGTCTACTGTCCTGCCTTGGTCCTCCTCCCAACACCCCAGGTGCCACAGGCATTTTTAGCGAGAAACAGCTTGGTATCATGGTTAAGAGCACAGTCTGCATCCAGAAAGCCAGTCTGGACCCAGCGATGCTTTTAGTAGCTCTGGACCGTGGGCCAATTACTACCCTCTCTGCGTCAGTCCCCATCTGTTCAATGGGGGACAGTGACAGGACCGGCCTCAGGCTGTGTGTGAGGATGAAATGAGTTGACAAAGGACCCAGAGCAGTGCTTGGGGTATATACAGGACGTGCTGTATGTGTCTTGCTGTTATGATCTGTAGGGTGTCCTCAGACCTGGGGGAGGGTCCTTGCGATGGCTGAGCCTCTTTTATCCTTCACATGTAGGTCATCTCCCTCTCTCTCACCTTTCACTCAGGTCCTGGACACAGGGGGTAGACTGTAGGACCTACTGACAGACCACTGGTTGGGGATGGTGTGAAGGGCAGTTCCAACTCTACCCCTGGTGGAGAGGCCAGGGTAATAGATGAGTTAAGCTACAGTTACAATTATAGGACAATAAGCAAGTATTTAATCTTCCATGTCTCAGTTTTTTCATCTGTAAAATGGGGACAATAGTACAGTCATACATCACACAACAATGTTTCAGTCAATAACAGGCTGCATATATGACAGGGGTCCCATAAGATTACATAGTGAAGGGTTTAGCAAAAGCTTTTGCCAACTCTAACAAGCCTCTTTAAAAGTTTGAAAACAGCCCTGGCCAGTGTGGCTCAGTTGGTTAAGCATCATCCCCGTGCAACTGAAAGCTGGCAGGTTCAATTCCTGGTCAGGGCACATGCCCAGGTTGCAGGTTTGATCCCCTGTCAGGAAGCAACCCATCAATGTTTTTATCTCACATTGATGTTTCTCTCTCCAAAATCAATAAGAACATAATTTAAAAAATAAAAGCTTGAAAACATGGTCCCCAGCATTAAACAGTTTTCATTAAAGGAATGTTCATTATATATTATCTGCTTACAAGCAAATTTATTGAAAGAAAGAAAACAAACTGAGCAAATCACCAGGGATATGTTTCTGAAAAGAGTGACACCTCCCCGAGAAGAGCCTGAGGCAGGTCCTGCAGGAGGTGCTCCCCGAAGAAGGCACTGTTACCCCAGGGATGCCAGCTCCATGCACATCACTGCCCCTGAAGACCTTCCTCTGGGGAAGATGTGCAGGCGGGAGACAGCGATATTGATGATCCTGAGCTTGTGTAGGCCTAGACCAGTGATGGCGAACCTATGACACGCGTGTCAGAGGTGACATGCGAACTCATTTTTTTGGTTGATTTTTCTTTGTTAAATGGCATTTAAATATATAAAATAAATATTAAAAATATAAGTCTTTGTTTTACTATGGTTGCAAATATCAAAAAATTTCTATATGTGACACGGCACCAGAGTTAAGTTAGGGTTTT